GAAGCGGTTATTTTATTTGCTAATTCTTCCGTAATTATCACGCCTGTAATATATAGTTATCACGATTTGTTTTTCAAACAAAAACAAAAGAGATGAGTCTTATTTTGTTCTTAAAAGCTGTAGTCAGGGTGTAGCAAAAACAATGAAGTGTTTCAAGCTGACACCGAACTTTAATGAGCCTGCTGAAACTAACTCGCTGACGATTTTAATGTGTTTTCAGTAGTAAAGGAAGTCTTGACAGTCGGCAAACACATCAAACTGTGTGCAGTGGGCTGCGATAATTTTGGTGTCCGTTATTTGTGTTGTTTATAAAGATGTTAAATGATGACTTCACCACTAACAATAACACTCGTTCCTTGAACAGACGCATGTTTTTTCCAGGGTTTATTCCCTGGCTTGCTTCCTACAGCATCTTCCGGTAGTACGTAAGTTTTTTCGCGCGGAATTTATATGGATAGACTTTTTTTCCCGTTCCCCTTTCTACGTTACTTAATCAACATCCCTTCTGGCGTATATTTCAAAGTAAAATGGTTGCTTTTGTTGCAAAATATTATTTGCTCATAAGGTGAATTTTTGCTATCGCTTGCATGACACCTGTGTTAGGCAGAATACAAAAGTTAAGGCATGTCTTTCATACCCAGTAAATCTTCTTAGATACGAGCATTCCTAATTTTTGAAGCCAATATTTTTGCCCTTCGAAATGGTACTTTTACCAACTGGACTGACGACCGATGTGTTATTAATATAACCTTAATTCTTACCCAGTATCATGGATACCTGCCATCTCTCTCAATGCTTTTTCGTCTCCATCACGTCTAGTGTATAAACAACAACTAATGTAGAAGGCAGCAATATACCGATTATTTTAAGCTTTTGCTAGCCTCACTCAGACTCAGTTACAATTTATACTGGCGCTAGACGTAACCTCAAGTAAAGCAGTGAGTAAAGATACAAAAGCCAAACGAGAGCACCAAAAATGAGAGCGCCAACAACCGAATACTGATTGTTATGAATAGCGACATGAGTATACAGGGTTGGCCAGAGGGGTAGTAAGATAGCAAATTACCCGAAATAAACCTTCCAATATACCAAAAAGTAAACTAAAACTCGTGTAAAATACCAAAATTAAGGAAACTACTGTATATTTTATACCCAAAATTAGTCGTAGGCGATAAAGTCAGGAGTACGAGGCCTTAGCTTTTAGCACTCCAACACCTGTGGTGCAACGAGCCATGTTTTGGGGTTCGAGACAATCATTAGAGCTCATCAGTCATTCAGTGAAATTTTAATTCATCCAGCTTTAAATGACATAGACATTTCTTTTTGTTTTCCTATTAAGAGATATGAAAGTCAGTTGATACAGCCGCCCTTCCCCTTCTCTTGTGTATTAAGGCTTGACTTTCAAGGAGAAACATTCCTCTCCTCCATCTTTGTGAAACTTGGCAAACAGGTTCCTTTCCACGTTTACATTCATTTGATGAGCTTTTCAAGTCTCAGTCACGTGACTCATTTTGCCTTGCAACGGTCAAAACTTGTCACTGAAAATGGGGGCTACTTAGTCAAACTGTATTCGCCTTATTTTATCGTTTTACTATGGCTCCTAGTAAGGGCCTTAGAATGCCGCCTTTTAATCATGTCCATGTGCTATCGGAAACCGTCAATTAAGTAAAACAGGTCACGTGACTTAACAAATCTACTAATAACTGATAAGGTATAGAATGAATTCCGCTTAAAAAGGCGGAAACGTGTTAAGAACGGTCTTAAGGCCATTTTGACATCGAAATGTTTAGAATTCTTAATGTACAAATGTACCCCATGTGAAGGAACACGTCAAATGTTAATTCTTCTCAGTTCCACGACTGAAACGAATTTATTCTTACGAACTGCAAGCATGATATCTTAAAACTTTGCTGGGGGTCCTCTATAATAAACAATCCAAACCTTAACACACTTGAGTTCTGTTTGGGCCTACAAGAAAGTATAGCCTGAGTACAGACGCCCTTCACCTGGGGAAAGAAAGATTTGTTTTTAAAACAGGGCCGGGGTCGGCTGTACACAGGCTAGGACCTACTGGACATGGCTTCTTCCTAAAGCTGGGAAATTCGATGAAAAGCCGGCCTCTGGACATATTCAAAACGGTACAGAAGTACTATGAGAAATTTTATATTCGCCTCTGTTGATGAAACCCGCCCATCTACTCTTTAGTCAATTGGCCGCACTTATTCCATCTCGTTCAATATTCGGCAAATGTTGGTAATTTTTTCTGGAGGTGAATTCTTATTAAACACTGTATTGTATCGAAATTCAGGAAAAAAAAAGAAAGTCATTTTCTTGTGTTCACGTCCTCCAAAAAAGTGAAATAAGTAACTTTCACGTCGTAGTCGTGCAACGACGGCAAAGAAATATGTATAAAAAAACGTGATGAACGTACAAAGTTGTTGTATTACTAAATATATTAAACATATTGACATCCTATTTGTTTCTTTGTTACCTATTTATTCGTAAGGCCATTTACACTTCATGCCACTAAATAACAACCATAACATCCTTAAACCAGCAGGAACAATATAAGTTTCCCTTGAAAAAACAGTTGATATGCCTTGTTTCTTAAAGTAAGCTTACAATACAATACATTACAGTTAGCTGCAAAATATCAGAGCACGAATCAACGTATGGAAAGCGTAGAAAACTAACTCGATCGACAGAAAAGTTGCCTTAATGTTTCTTTTACAGCTTGCCTCACTTCACTGATCTTCCAACAGTACAACAACGGGTTTGATGATGAGTTCAAATACACTAAAGTACTCGTAAATTGCTAAGCACGGTAAATGGATAAAGACATCCCTCTCTGAGGTTGCAAAGCTATTACTATAACATAAGGCAGATAACAAATAACCAATGTTCCCTGCACCCACAGTGCACTATAGACTGCCTTTCTGTATCGAGCTATGTTCAGTGGAATTGTTTGGCTCGGTTGTCCTTGAGCAACATGGTTCTGAACATGAATTTGGTTATGACGCAGAGTACAGAAAACTTTAGTGTAAGCGACGGTTGTGGTGACTAGACACAAAGCGGCAACTTCGTATTGAAACCAGGAAGTTATAAGACGATTCCAAAAGAGAGTAGATGCACCGACCATGGACAAAATCCAAAAATCGGTCACAGTTATACATGTTTTTCTATAAGTTACAACTTGTCTGTATCTGAGCCCTAGCAACAAGGCGAGAAGTCTGTCCACGCTTATTGCAGTCACTGTTAATAAAGATACTGCACACAAAGTTAAACCTGAGAAACGTGCTGCCCAAACTGCGTAATAGCAAATATCCCATCTTTCCTTCACAACAGAAGTCCAATAAGTCACAAGCAAAGGCTCCACAATGATACCAACACAGAGATCAGTTATCGCTAGGTTACGATACAGGAGTTTGGACGGCGGCTGAAGTGAAGTTTCCTTGTGCAGAGCAACTAGGATCAGAGTGTTCCCAGAAATGCAGTGACGGAAAGAAACATATTTAGAGCTGAAAGGAATATAAGCTCGCTCTCTACACCGCTGACAAATTCAGCCTCGCAGAACAGTTCTCGGACAGTTTTATGGTTTTCGTCTTCAGTAAAATTTTCCAGGGCCATTTTGCTCTTAGGCGGATTGACCTGCAAGTGAGAGTTTCATTTATACACACTATTTTAATTTGGGTGAAAGTTGATATAATGTCAACATCTCTACAGTCAAAACAATTTACCTGAACGGGCTACATACGTTAATTTGTCGCGTATTAATAAATAATGATCAGAAGTAATTTATAGAGTCATAAACGTGCAAAAACTATTAACTAAACGTAAAAGAAAAAAGCTCTCAGGGCTAAGAAAGGTCGAGCAAAGTTGTCTCGGTACTTTTTCAATCTAACTGATCGAACTATGATGAGCCAGGTGTTATGTCACAGTTGAAACTTAAACTCACGGATGATTTTAATACATTTTTAGGTCTCTTGTTGGCGATGCGTTGGCAACTTGACATCGCAGTAATTTGAAGGAAATTCCGATAACTCATTAGATTTTTTTAAAGTTTACTATAAGCTTGAGCCATCAAAAGACACTCCTTCCTAGAAATTAAGTGATATACTGTATTATACACCTAGTTGCTATAGCGTTGTCATAGTTAAATCAGCTAAAAGGAATTGAATTTAAAAATCCAAAAAACAAATCGAAATTAATTAGGCTTGCCGTTAAACCACTATATGGTGAATTTATTTTCAACCTACGCGGACTGTCCTCGCTTCTATGACCCCAAACGCCTATATAGCAAATGAATGCTCCCTTTCTGACTCCTTTCTAGATTTATTAGAAGGCCCAATTAATTCCTATTTGGTTTTTTCTTTTTTCATTTCCCCCTTTACCATTTTTCTGAGACATGCTCATTGCAATCAGGTGTATATGCCCTACTTAATGACTAAGCGTATGTTTACAACAATTAGCACTCAATTAGGGTATACTAAAGGGAAATCGCACGAAAACGTCATGGCAATCTCATCAGTGCAAGTGCTTTGAAGCGGTTATTTTATTTGCTAATTCTTCCGTAATTATCACGCCTGTAATATATAGTTATCACGATTTGTTTTTCAAACAAAAACAAAAGAGATGAGTCTTATTTTGTTCTTAAAAGCTGTAGTCAGGGTGTAGCAAAAACAATGAAGTGTTTCAAGCTGACACCGAACTTTAATGAGCCTGCTGAAACTAACTCGCTGACGATTTTAATGTGTTTTCAGTAGTAAAGGAAGTCTTGACAGTCGGCAAACACATCAAACTGTGTGCAGTGGGCTGCGATAATTTTGGTGTCCGTTATTTGTGTTGTTTATAAAGATGTTAAATGATGACTTCACCACTAACAATAACACTCGTTCCTTGAACAGACGCATGTTTTTTCCAGGGTTTATTCCCTGGCTTGCTTCCTACAGCATCTTCCGGTAGTACGTAAGTTTTTTCGCGCGGAATTTATATGGATAGACTTTTTTTCCCGTTCCCCTTTCTACGTTACTTAATCAACATCCCTTCTGGCGTATATTTCAAAGTAAAATGGTTGCTTTTGTTGCAAAATATTATTTGCTCATAAGGTGAATTTTTGCTATCGCTTGCATGACACCTGTGTTAGGCAGAATACAAAAGTTAAGGCATGTCTTTCATACCCAGTAAATCTTCTTAGATACGAGCATTCCTAATTTTTGAAGCCAATATTTTTGCCCTTCGAAATGGTACTTTTACCAACTGGACTGACGACCGATGTGTTATTAATATAACCTTAATTCTTACCCAGTATCATGGATACCTGCCATCTCTCTCAATGCTTTTTCGTCTCCATCACGTCTAGTGTATAAACAACAACTAATGTAGAAGGCAGCAATATACCGATTATTTTAAGCTTTTGCTAGCCTCACTCAGACTCAGTTACAATTTATACTGGCGCTAGACGTAACCTCAAGTAAAGCAGTGAGTAAAGATACAAAAGCCAAACGAGAGCACCAAAAATGAGAGCGCCAACAACCGAATACTGATTGTTATGAATAGCGACATGAGTATACAGGGTTGGCCAGAGGGGTAGTAAGATAGCAAATTACCCGAAATAAACCTTCCAATATACCAAAAAGTAAACTAAAACTCGTGTAAAAAATACCAAAATTAAGGAAACTACTGTATATTTTATACCCAAAATTAGTCGTAGGCGATAAAGTCAGGAGTACGAGGCCTTAGCTTTTAGCACTCCAACACCTGTGGTGCAACGAGCCATGTTTTGGGGTTCGAGACAATCATTAGAGCTCATCAGTCATTCAGTGAAATTTTAATTCATCCAGCTTTAAATGACATAGACATTTCTTTTTGTTTTCCTATTAAGAGATATGAAAGTCAGTTGATACAGCCGCCCTTCCCCTTCTCTTGTGTATTAAGGCTTGACTTTCAAGGAGAAACATTCCTCTCCTCCATCTTTGTGAAACTTGGCAAACAGGTTCCTTTCCACGTTTACATTCATTTGATGAGCTTTTCAAGTCTCAGTCACGTGACTCATTTTGCCTTGCAACGGTCAAAACTTGTCACTGAAAATGGGGGCTACTTAGTCAAACTGTATTCGCCTTATTTTATCGTTTTACTATGGCTCCTAGTAAGGGCCTTAGAATGCCGCCTTTTAATCATGTCCATGTGCTATCGGAAACCGTCAATTAAGTAAAACAGGTCACGTGACTTAACAAATCTACTAATAACTGATAAGGTATAGAATGAATTCCGCTTAAAAAGGCGGAAACGTGTTAAGAACGGTCTTAAGGCCATTTTGACATCGAAATGTTTAGAATTCTTAATGTACAAATGTACCCCATGTGAAGGAACACGTCAAATGTTAATTCTTCTCAGTTCCACGACTGAAACGAACTTATTCTTACGAGCTGCAAGCATGATATCTTAAAACTTTGCTGGGGGTCCTCTATAATAAACAATCCAAACCTTAACACACTTGAGTTCTGTTTGGGCCTACAAGAAAGTATAGCCTGAGTACAGACGCCCTTCACCTGGGGAAAGAAAGATTTGTTTTTAAAACAGGGCCGGGGTCGGCTGTACACAGGCTAGGACCTACTGGACATGGCTTCTTCCTAAAGCTGGGAAATTCGATGAAAAGCCGGCCTCTGGACATATTCAAAACGGTACAGAAGTACTATGAGAAATTTTATATTCGCCTCTGTTGATGAAACCCGCCCATCTACTCTTTAGTCAATTGGCCGCACTTATTCCATCTCGTTCAATATTCGGCAAATGTTGGTAATTTTTTCTGGAGGTGAATTCTTATTAAACACTGTATTGTATCGAAATTCAGGAAAAAAAAAGAAAGTCATTTTCTTGTGTTCACGTCCTCCAAAAAAGTGAAATAAGTAACTTTCACGTCGTAGTCGTG